AAAAAAAAAAAAAAAAAAAAAAAAAAAAAAAACTTACCATAGCGTGGACACCTCGCCGGTGGCAGGTCTTGATCAACAGCTTCACGTAGGCATCCATGAACGGCACCGTCATGGTGACGTCCGAGCGATCCGGCAGCACGAAGTTGGGGTGCTTGCGGAACTTCTTGATGAAGGAGAAGATGTAATCCCAGCGGCCGCAGTTCAGGCCGGAGCTGTGGTCCCGAAGCTCGTAGATGATCTCGTCCATCTCGAAGGCGGCGGTGATGGTCTCGATCAGCACGGTGCCGCGGATCGTGCCGCGGGGCATGCCGATGTAGTCCTGGGCGAGGTTGAAGACGTCGTTCCACAGGCGCGCCTCCAGGTGCGACTCCATCTTGGGCAGGTAGAAGTACGGCCCGAACCCGCGGGCCACCAGCTCCTTGGCGTTGTGGTAGAAGTACAGGCCGAAGTCGAACAGACTGCCGGAGATGGGCTCGCCGTCGACGGTGAAGTGCTTCTCCTCGAGGTGCCAGCCTCGAGCGCGCGCGATCAACGTCGGCAGCACCCGGTCCGTCCGCAGCTTGTATTCCTTGTTGCCTTGCTTGAAGTCCACCTGCCGGCGGATCGCGTCGTAGAGGTTGACCTGGCCGTTGATCATGTTCTCCCAGGTGGGGGCGCTGGAATCTGTTCATCGGAGTTAGCACCTTTTAAGATGTTAAAAAGTGGGGGCAGACGACGTACCCTCGAAATCCGCCATGTATGTCCAGACATCCGAGTTGAGCGCGTTCACCACCATCTTCCGGTCGGTGGGACCTGTGATCTCAACCCGACGGTCGACTAGGCCAGGGGCCGGGGGAGCGCCCTTCCAGGCGTCATTCTCGCGGATGTGCTTGGTTTCGGGGAGGAAGTCGGGCAGGTGGCCCTTGTCGATCTCAGCTTGTCGGTCGATGCGGCGTTGGAGGAGAGCTTTGCGGGTGGAGTTGAAGGCGCGGTGGAGGATGGCAAGGAAGACGCAGGCGTCTTTGGTGAGGATCTTGCGAGCTTCGGTGCTCACAGTGCCCAGGATGGCCACGTCCTTGAGCTGGGCCTCAGATTGGCTCATGGTGAAGACTTTGGTAACAGAAACTTGACACAGATCTCTAGTTAAGTCGACAGGGGAGAAGGGGGATGGAAGAAGTGTAGAAGTAGTATAGATCACAGCTTAAGCACATAAAGTTCCAGCTCTGTGATAGAAGGAGGGACAGGCAAAGTATATAAGTTCCAACCCCCAGAATCTTATCGGAGGGCAGGAGGTGGGCTCGACGACGTCAGAATCCACGGACAGCCGCGGCCCATGGGAAGTTCGGATTATCCATGGTCGCGGGGTACCGCCGATAAAGGAGGGCAGTCACGGAGCATGGTGGATGGAGAGATACTTTTTTGGCAGCAATTGCCAGCAATTGGCATCAGATAGACTCAGGAATCAGTCTGGGTTGCACCCACTCGCACCCACTCGCACCCACTGTAATCACCACGTGACTTCTCCGCGGGGAACTGGTCCTTTCGGCCGACTGGACCCGATTGGAGCTGGGGTTCCCCGCCCGGCACGCGCCGGCCACCGCCTCCGATTCGGGCCTTATCGTTTGTGATGACTCGATACATTCACCTCTCCCCTTTGATATAGCTTGAACCCCCCCCCCGAAGCTGTGATATGCGAGGGAAGTTGAGAAGACGCAGGGTGTACGGAGAGATGGTCTCTCGTCCGAAAGCATTGGCATCAACTAACTGGACCAATCAACTAACGCTACAATGTCCCAAGACCGTTTATCAGTTCTCTGCGCCTACCGAGGATGTGCGCCCTCGATAAGCCTTCCTCATCTCCCCGCATGTCCGAACAACCTCCAGCCAGCCGCGGCTGCACCAGCAAACCATCACCTCGCTGATGCTGGTACACACGTCGATCATGCTCGGTATTTTTCGGGATCCCCACATCCACCTACCGATCGATTCCGATAAGAGTCACAGCTGTTTTCGCAACGACGGATGCTTTGCAGCGGTCTTCGCCACTCTCTAGCGAACACACCCTTACAAGTCCATCGAAGAAGTCTTCGGCTTTTCAATGAAGCGCATAGAGTAACCAGAAGCTCCAGAAACTTCTTCCCTCCCAACCCCACAGGAGATGCGACCAGTCCGATGCCATGTTCCAGCTCACGGACATGTGAATGCATGTGATTCTGCGGCATCCTTCTGGGGGCGTTCTCAATGAGTAACCGGGCTCAATATCTGGGGTGCCACGCGCCGCTTACCCACCAAGGGTTCCGGAATGTGGACGAGACACTTTCGGAACATGCAGGACAAAGACTTCAAGCCTACACGCAATCATGACCCAGCACTAATGTGTAGCTCGGGGGTTGGGCGTGATCATGCTACTGATTGTTGGATGGATTCATGCCAGCACTGCCGTGTCTACATCGGAGCTATGACCACCTGCGAGCTCCAGTTCTTCCCCCACTCTCCAGCATTATTTGCTGAAGGGGGTGCGTCATCTGGCTTCTCGTGGTGAAGCTCAGACCCCCGCCTCTAGCAATGTGGAAGCGGTTAATAGAGGACCTCACGCTCAGGTCTATCAAGCTCTGTAGAAATGCGCACATCAGTATCCCAGTCAGCTGTGCTTAGACGGACTGCCCCAAGACCGCAACTTCCCACAAGATATTGAATAGAATACAAATAATAATCGCGAAGGAGAGCATACTATCATAGGCACCTTCGACAAGACTCGGCGTCTTTGTTTCCAGAATGGAGATCTCGAATCCGGGGCTGTGTCTAGAATTGCCCATGGCTACAGTATCGATCATCGCCTTTTGACGCTCAATTGACTTTCTAGCTTTACAGGAAGCTCCCACAGGCAATTGCTCGTGATTTCCATGAATGAATGTATAATTAACACAGTTGCAAGCCATGTAGCCGAACCTGAATGAATTGCGCTGGGAATATTACGTTCTCAGAATATGCGATTCTACCCCATCAGAATTAGAACATGCTACAGGAAATATAAGGCATGTCATAGTAGAGATGGTCCTGTATACTGGTAGAACCTACTTGAGGTCTTCCAGAAGGCGAAAGCACACTAAATTTAGCTCTAATCGGCTTCTGGCGGGGAAGCTGCTGACTCAGCCGGCCCAGGGTCCATCACGAAAATCACGCGGGGCGATCCTTTGTTTTCTCTGCAACCACATCAACCTCAACACCCACAGTCCATGCCGGTCGCGTGCGTGACAAACTCTAGAACTACTTCAACATGGGATCTAAGACCCCCGAGGGACATCGGCAGGAACCCGATGGTATGTGCCATCTCAACACTCTCCAAGAATGAATCCTTGGATCTAACCTGACCGTGTGACTCAGCCTCCAACTCCTCCGACTTCAAGCCCGCCAATCCTCAAGTCAAGGCCTCTCGAAACGGTTCCGGCTCCGCGGACTTGGATCGAGGGATCATCAGCGACGATGATGACGACGACGACAATTCGAAGGAAGAAAATGGGGTGAACGGAGCCTCGACTGCTGGTACGTTCGCAAACCGTCGACCCTCTGAATAAGTTTGAAACAAATATCACTGACACGTTGGCTGCACCACCAGAGAAGAAACAAAAGAAACGCAAGAGATCCAAGAAGAAGAAGAAGACCACCCCCACCGCGCAGACCACCCCACCGCGGGTGCCGCTCTCCACCCTCTTCCCGTCCGGCCAATACCCCCGCGGAGAACTCGTCCCCTACGTCGAGGACGAGAATACCGCCCGCACGACCGACGAAGAACTGCGCTATAACTCCCGCCTCTGGGACGATGACTTCCTGCCCGACTACCGCAAGGCGGCCGAGGTCCACCGCCAGGTCCGGCAGTATGCCCAGCGGGAGCTCATCAAGCCGGGCGCCAGCCTCACGGCCATCGCCGAGGGGATCGAGGACGGCGTGCGCGCGCTCACGGGCCACCAGGGCCTGGAACCCGGCGACGCTTTTCATGCGGGCATGGGATTCCCGACCGGCCTGTGTCTGAACAATGTGGCGGCGCACTGGACGCCGAACCCGGGCGCTAAGGATGTCATTCTGGATAAGAACGACGTTCTCAAGGTGGACTTCGGGGTCCATGTGAATGGGCGCATTGTTGACTCCGCTTTCACGGTCGCGTTCGAGGACAAATACGATAATCTCCTGACTGCGGTCAAGGAGGCGACCAATACTGGTATCAAGGTATGTCCGACGGTTCCGAGAACACAGGCCGGGCGACTGATTTGACTAGCATGCCGGTATCGATGCGAGAATGGGCGAAATCGGCGCAGCCATCCAGGAGGTGATGGAAAGCTACGAGGTCGAGATCGACGGGAAGACCCGCCCCGTCAAAGCCATTCGAAACATCACCGGGCACGACATTCTGCGCTATCAGATCCATGGCGGGAAGCAAGTCCCGTTCATCAAGAGCAACAATCGCGACAAGATGGAGGAAGGAGAGGTGTTCGCCATCGAGACCTTCGGAAGCACCGGCAAGGGTTATTTAGAGGATGATGTACGTGTACACCGTTTTTCAGGTTCGAGTCAGGCTCTAATAACTTCTCAACAGGTGGGCCTCTACGGCTACGGTAGAAACACCGACGCTTCCGGTGCCAACCTGCGTCTCGCTTCTGCGAAATCGCTGCTGAAGACCATCGATTCGAATTTCGGGTCGATCGTTTTCTGTCGTCGCTATCTGGAGAGACTAGGGGTGTCTCATTATCATCTCGGGGTGAGTGGCTCCATGGCCGTGGGGTTGATTTGCTTCTGTTACTGACGAGCTCCTCAGATGAAAAACCTGGTCGATAATGGTATTGTCGAGTCCTATGCGCCGCTTGTCGACGTGAAGGGTTCCTACACCGCCCAATTCGAACATGTATGGCTTCCCTTTGTTATATGATGCGCCTTGGATCGAAACTAATGTGCTCTAGACCATTCTCCTCCACAGCGGCGGCAAGGAAGTCATCAGTCGCGGTGACGATTACTAGGTTAGCCCAGTCAGCCATTGGGCATCTATAGACGATGTCGCTGACGTTTTGCTTTGCCTGTTTGCTTTTGACTAAGTAATGCTTCGTTCAACCCTTCGATGACCTCGGATTCAACATCCGTCCAGGTACTTGTTCGCTTGACTTCTGATTACTGCATTGTTGTTGCTTTGGGTACGCTGTCACAATTACGACGTAGCCTAGTCCAGTCATTACCATTTCAACTGAATTGAACGCCAATTTACCCTTCAATAATCTCTGTGCAACATAGTGTAGTCCTGTGTACCACACATTTAAAAGTTCCCATGTTTGATATTCGCATCGTCTCCTCCATGAACTTGTTGCATTAACACAGCTCGATCCTGCTCGGCTGATGCGAATAGCTCTTCGATGACCTCGCTATGGTACGACGACCGCACCGAGACTGAGGCCTTGAGGTCAACGGGACCCGACAGCGCACTCTGGAGCATCTTCAGACTGTCCAACTCGTACCTCTCGCCGGTGCCTTCATCCCGAAAGTGCGAGAACTCGAAGGCCCAGAGCAAGCGGCTGATGACCAGAAACAGTGATCGGCGCGCCGGGTGCTGGCCGGGACACCCGCAGCGACCGAAGCCAAAGGCCGCCGCGGGCGCGCCGGTATTCCGCAACCACCGTTCCGGCGCGAAGGCGAAGGGGTCGTCGAAGACGGCGTCGTCCTATTTCTCTCATGAGCTCCACGGCAGCATCAACGTGAAGCAGTTGGAATATGCCTGCCATGCCCTGGTGCAGCGGCACGAAGTTGTGCGTGCTCGTTTCGTTGCCCTCCACGGCTCTGTCCAGCAGGTGATTCCCAGGTATCGAGCAGAAGATGTCCGATTTCAGGTACTCGAAGGGTTCGGTGAGATGCACAGTCTCGGTCCCTCTGCCAGTCTAGTTCATACTGATCCTGGCTTTCTCCTTGAATGATGTCCTGCTTCGTTTCGTACTTCACCCAGGCCGTATTCGTCTCACGATGCGAACCTCTCATGCCCAATATGACGGACTCAGCATGCCTTTCATTCTCAAGGACCTGGACGCATTATACAACGGGATTGTCTTGGCCCCTCCGGCCAGGTTCTCGGAATACGTGGAGGAAAGCGAGCGACTCCTTTCCCAAAACAAGCACGCTCAGCAGTTCTGGCGTCAACTGCTGCAAGGATCAGAAGTCAGCCCCATCGTGGCACCCAGCAAGCTCTCCTCGTACTCGTTACAGAAAGACCATCCCCTGGATCAGACCACAATTCGGACTATTCGACTGTCACCATCAACTTCCGACGCCTCCACCACCCCGGCCACGATCATCAAGGCCGCCTGGGCACTCGTGCTCGGCCGTCTCTCGCAACATCAGGACGTGGTCTTCGGTCACTTGACCAACACTCAACCCCGCTTGGATCATCTGCCAGCCATTCATGAGGTCGTCGGTCCCTGTCTCAATGTGCTTCCTGTGCGCGTCCAGCTCCAGCCGACTACCACACGAAGGGAGCTGCTGAATACGTTTCAACAGCAATATATCGGCGCCTTGCCCCATTCCATGTTAGGCTTCGGCGAGATCATCGACCACTGCACAAAATGGCCGCCAACCACCCGATTGAGTTCCATCCTGCAAGAACAAAACCCGCACCAGGACCTGGACAGTGTTCTTCTTGACGGAGCTACAGGGAGTCTCGAAGCTTATGTACCTGCCTCTGGCGCTGCCGACCTCTGGATGATGGTAACTCCCACGGACAATTATGGGGCCGAGAGACTGCATGAGATCAAACTGAGCTACAGCGCCGCAACTATGCCCTCTTCCATTGCAGATCGCATTCTCGACGAATCTGCCGATGCAATTTCGTTCCTCCAGGTCCCTCATAGTTGGGGGCAGATGAATCAATTGAGGTGGTGGAGGTATGGTATGGTAACTGGGCTGCTGTTATCTCTTCTGTACTGCAAAATGAAGTATCGTTCTGTATTTTGCTTACATGCAAAATTGAAAGATGGTTATATGGAATCTCCATTACTAGGCCTATTCGTCATGTATGGACCATGTATGCATGCACTGTAGAGAGAGTCTAGTATTCTGGATCCTCTCCTCGGCCCTACACGGCCACGCATTTGGCATTGAGTTTGGACCAAGTTTCTGTCACCCGGGCAGTAGTGGATCGCCCTGGCACGCAGTTGAGCATGGGACTCGCGGGCATGCTTCTGCTGCCAGGCCAGATATTTCTTATGATGCTGGATGCGCCGGAGAAAATGCAGGGCCCCTGGCTCTCTCAAACTTGAAGAGAAAACATCCCGTCCACGATCCGGTGCATGCTTCCGGGTGGTATTGCTTAATCGTCCGGGAGTCTGTTGAATTTTAGGATATTATAGACACGCGAGCATCGTGTCTAGAATATGAAAGCAACTGTCCTTCTTTTGACCCCCCCTTGGACTTGTGGCATGTCTTTATTTTCCGGGTCTACTCCAACAAAGTATTTTTTTCACCCACAAGTGGGTGGGATTGCTGGGCTATGGTGAGCAATTCACTTCGAAAAAGAATCTATGCCGTTGCAAAGACTGCCTCTGTTCCAGATAGCCCACTCCTGAGACCTCAAATCGCTGACAAGACGGCTTATGGGTAGATCCTATGTCACGTACATGAGGTGGCCTCAAGTATGTAGAGATGTCTCGATGGAATATACCATGCTGCTTCAGAAAGACTCTTTCGACGGGTATACTGAGTTCCACTTGTTGAAACCGTAGAATACCAAAGCCGAACTCCCCCCCCCGACCTATTCGAAGCCAGATGATGGGGATTCCGAAGGTGGCTTCTGCTTGTAACGGAACTTCGATGTTCCATCGTCGTGGAGATGCCCCGTTCCTACTCTGTTGCCATTCTTGTCCAGGAGCTGGATGGAGATGACCTTCTTCGGATCGATCGGGTCCTTGTGAGATTGGTGAAGCTCGGTTCTCTGGATAGCGGCTTGCACTATGCGAGGATCCTGCCAAGAGATTAGTCACCTTGATACGAAATGGAGGCTCTAGCCCGGGGGGAGGGGGGGTTCCATGGGAAGCCAACAAGGTACAACATACGCGGGCTTCTTGTTCCTGGCAATACTTGTCGACAAGTGTCGAGTGCGTCTAATTCTTGAAGTCGCTCAGCGTAGTCTTTCCAACGTAGGAGATGAACCGGCGGATGACGGTTGCCATGGTGGGAGACGCTGCGCAAGTCAAGACGAATATTAATTCCCGAGGGGGGGAATCGGTCAGGTCAGAAGATTGCAGGACAGACTGGTAGGCATTCTCAAGAGAAGACATGGGAAATTGCGGTGGGACTTCTGATCAGCCGTAGACTTCTGACGCCTTGATTTAGCCCCGATCGGTGGCTAGCTTGCTTTTTCTGGGCGCTTGTATCATGACATCGCGAATAGATAGGGCGAGGCTGGCGCTGAGCCAAGGGATCTTTTCTGTGGCGATATTGATGTCCGCAGAAAGCAGGGTAAGCTAAGCATGAATCTATAGCCAATGTGATAAAGGAAGCATGTTTTGTTGAAACATCAGAGTAGCCACGGGTCCTCGAGCAGCTGCTTCGCTGTCTTGCGTTCCTCTGGTAACCACTTTAGCATTGACATCATGAATCGGATGAACTCCGCCTTCTCTTCCCCTGCGAGTCGCTTTTCTAGGCTCCCTAAGGAGATCATTGGCACAACTGCTTCTTCATGGGCAACCCAGGCGCCTGGCAAAACATGTCAGGTGGACAACTTCAATTGGGACCGCAAGCTAGAAGGGACTTACCACTAGGGTCAAAACACTGTTCGGTCGTTTCACTGCGGCGAATGAATTCCTCTGGCGGCGGCCCCACCAAGGCGACCATACGTGCCAGATGCCTGAACGGGTCGTGGCCGCCTTTGGCATCGAAAATATCTTCGAACAAATGTTTCCCTTCGAAAAGGTCCCATATCTGCCAACTGACGTCAGCACGCTGAGATGTTAATAGCTGCATAGCCTGGCCCGCACTTACCAAGCCTGCCAGGTTCCAGATATCGACGGCGCTTCCCCAGGGCATTTCGAAGATGATCTCTGGCGCCCGATAGATGTGCGGTTGAACAAAGGGCCCAGACTCCTGCTGGGTGCCAATCCGTGCCTCCCCAAAATCACACAGAATTGGGAGTCCATAACTTTTACCTGCAGACGGTCGACGGAATCGCCGACTCTGGTAGATGATGCGAGACTCATCAACCTGCTTTCGAGGGCTGGGTTCCTCGGCTTCGGCTTTCGCAAAGTCCGCCAGCATGCCGTCGTCCTCAAGACTAAGCATTAGGTTGTCCGTCTTTATATCTGATACGAGTTAGAAATAGGCAGTCTGGCTTCGTATTGGGGGTGAGGGGGTTAATTGGTGCGCACTACATACCAGTGTGGATGACATTGGCTTCGGTGTGTAAGAAGTCCAAGGCCAGAAGCAGACGCTTCACCGTCAATTTAAGAAGAGGCAGGTTGAATGGCTTGGGATTAAGCCCCATCATCTCTAACAAGGTCATATGCATTGGCTGTAGCACTAGGCAGCGGTGTAGCCCGGCAGGTCCGTGAAGGTCAAAGGAATCATGAAGCTCGCGGATCAGCGCTTGACCTGGATGCGTAGAATTGACTCTGGCTAGATGCTCATAGATCTTAAGCTCGCGACCTGATGCGGTCGGAAATGATGGCAGCGATGTAGACACCTTCAACACTTCATACTGGTCGTTCCTGGGTGTATATTGAGCTGTTAAGTGCCTGCACGGTCACTGGGAGAAGGGTCGTTCGTCAGAACGCACTGGAGATCCCAGCATAGTCAGCTTGTGGAATACGCCCCATAACCGAGCTTACCCGTAACCTGATACCGGGTCTCGTATACGTCGCCAATCTTAACGGGATAGTAATGCTCAGGTTTATAGTAGGCCAACGTCTCCTCATCGACGGGCGTATCAAGAGGCAGAGTCGTATATGAGATCTTGGATAATCTTCGGGAAGAAGATAGCCTTTGCCGAAGGGAGCTGCCCCATGCACTAAATCGTCCTGCCATGCCTGAATAACAATGTTGTCCAGTGAGTTAGCGACTTTGTCGAGGATTGGGAGATTGAGAGATTGAGAGAATGGAAGTGGATATTGGTGCTATTCTTGAAACTCATCAGGGAGAAACAGAAACAGGAGTGTAGATTAAGCAAGTTAGCTAGATAGCTTATCGTCACGTGGAATCAGCTCCTTCCCCAGGAACGGCCCGTATATTCGTATATTCCTTATCTTTAGTACAGTACACTCTTCCTCGATTGACCCGCAAGATGTGGAGGTGCTCAACAACTGGGTCAGTCTGTGATAAATGGCTGTCACATTAGCGGCAAGTGGTCTAGAATGGATTGAGTAGCATGTAAGACTGTCTTTTGTTGCAGCCACCTTTTGATCCTGGTGCATGGGGAGCACAAGATGGTAAACTTAAGTGGTGGCTGCGGCAGGCTTAGTTAGGCTGTGCATCACTGCATAACTAGCTTAGTCATAGCATGACGCAAGCACTCAGAGACGATCGGATCGGTCGGTCGGTCGGAAGTCAGCAGGCAGCAACAAGATACAGGTACGTACAGGGCTACGCAACATTAAAGGAATAAGATGGTAAGATATAGCCATCATACAGGCTCTCCGTTAATAGTGATTAAGGTTTTCACGCTAGTTTACAGTAAATCTCTTCAACGGCGCTTGCCCAAAAGCGAAGACGTCAACGTCTTGCTGGCGCTACCTGAACTCCATGAACTCCGTAAACCCCGTTGGTGTAGAAGTTTCCCATGATGATGATGATGCCTGCGCCGTCCATGCTGCGCGGATTTCAAACCCTTCAAGATTCGTTTGCGTCGTCCCGGCTTTTCGAGTAGATCTATCGTCCAAGCTAGGGTTAATAAAGACTCCCAGCTCCATCGAGCTTCGCCGACACCGCCAGCGGGTCGGTCTTGGGGAGAGAACTTCTGATTAGCAGCCAGCTGCAAGGCCCTGCCCGTCGCATCGCGTAGTGGACGCGCCAAGGCTGGGTTGCACGCTAGAAGTCTGGCAAGAAGCTTCGTCCGGAAGACCGTGGGGCGGGTCGATGCCGTCGAAGTTGACAGAGTCGGGGTCGAAATTAACCATAGAATCAAATGGAAATGCTGATAGATCTCCTCCGTCGAGAAGGTCAAACGCGAACCCGTCTTCAAGGACTGAAGAATCCGACCCAGCGGGTGAATCACCGCTGAATAGGCGGTTGAAGTCGTCGTCAGAAAGAGGAGCTGCAAGGTCATCTGCAGCGTGAGGTTCCACGTTTGAGCCGAGCTCAAACAGCGAGAGGGCGCTTCCATCTCCTTCGAGGCCAGCGACTGACACTGCAGGTCGCACAACACCGCTGCAGGATGTTGTGTCAAGTCGGAGGACTCAGCCAGAGTGGAAGGCCGGAGAGTGGGGGAGTAGTCGGTGTAAGGAGAGGTCGGGAAGGGAATTCGGTCGAGGGGAAGTTCGTCGCGCTCCTGCTTGAACAGGGTCGGCGTAAGGGTGGGAGAGGCCGAAGCAGGGGAGCCGGGCTTGGGAGTGTTGCCACGGGAACCCCTGACCTCGGCGGACAGTTGAGCGACTTGTTGGTTCAGGCGGTTGTTTTCGGCTTCCATCTGGGTCAAGCGCTGAAGAAGGAACTGGTTCTGTTGCTCCATCTGGATTTTCTCGTTTTCTAGTTTCTCCATCTCGAGGCGCTTGCGCTCTCGAGAGGTTTGTGCGGCAGCCCGATTCCGAAGAACACGCTCGATGCGGCGCTGCTCCTTTTCGTCCTCCGTCTTGGCCCGTTTCCTAGATTCGTACGTTAGTATCATCATGCTTCATTCGATACTTCGGACACCCTTGCATGGAAGCCTTGCATGGAAGAACATACCTTGGAGGAAGGTTGGTCTTAGGGACTGGCAACTCCTGGCCCCATGACTTTCTCTTCTTCGCAGGCTTCTTGTCCTCTGACTTAGTTTCGGCCTTGACGGTGGGATCATTCAAGGAAGTGTCCGCTGGGGAGACGGTGAGCATGGGAATTTCCGGAGCCGGCGAGCCAGCCAAGGATTCCACTGGAGAGAAACCGCCTTCCATCTTGCAAAGGCGATATGTTGATCTGTCTAATCGTAGACTGTATGGGTCACGAAAGTAAGGTGATGCTCAATGCTCAGGAAGGCGTAGCTCGATCACGTCTCTTTTCTCTTGCCCAGGTCACAGGGACAGAGGCCACGGTGTCATCACGGTACAAGCCGGGTCTGGGGGAGGGGCCAGGTGGTTGACCAGCAACGTTCTGGTTGGTTGGGCCCAAAACGGAAGCTGGGGGAGGAAATGGGAAGAGGACAACTGTCCACAAAGGTAGCGAAAGTAATAAGATGGAGAGGGTTGACTGCTTTCAGATCAGACAGTCTGGGAGAGGGAAAGATTGCCTCTTTAAAAGGCCAGCGTGGTCAGTTGAGGGTCAGTTGAGGGGGCGTCTCCTTTTCGCAAGGGGGCGGAGTCTCCCTTCGTCAGCCAAGTACCCGTACTGTACTGTAAGATATGTGGGAGTTGGGATATGCTCGGCAGAAATGTACCTTGGGGGCGGTGTTTTGGGCCGTATGGAGCCGTATGATTCTGTAAGCATTACCTACAAAGCCGGGCTGGAATGGGAGGCGGTACCAATTGAACCCCTGAAGGTGTGAACTCAAGCAACTTGAGGGACTTGAGGGAAACTCGTACCCCCTCTCGACTCCTCCTACTCCTCTCGACTCCTCTTTCCTTCATCCACTTTCCCATTCCCTTTCAACCTGCGACACGCTCCGGTCGAGATTGTGGAACCCTCTTCCGGCCCCCCTCTTCATCATCGGTGATCGGAATATCTGATTGCTCTACCCTCCAGGTTTGGCCCCGCCCCCCTCTCCCCCCTCCCCCCCCCCAAATGCCATTTTTATCCCTGCTCCGGACGGTCCTGAGATTCTCTGCCCTTTGGCCCGCTCCGCCTCGCTGACGAGAGCTGCCGTTGCGAATCAGTAAGACATGCTTGCTGACTCTGATGCTCCTTAGCGCCTCCGCAGATTCGTATTCGCTCGCATCGCTTCTCATTAACTCGACTACGCCATCGTTATTCTTGCTATTGAGATTCCATCTTTCGCTTTGTCCAGTGCACCCGAGACGTTCCACGGTTACGCTCTGAAAGAACCGGGCAGAAAGTGGGAAACACCTCAGCTCAGTGGTGCTAATGGCGTGATCTGGGAGACGCATGAACGCAGATCTCCACCGGGCCGTACTAATGACTCCCCCTGTCTGGGCTCGGCCGTTGCAACTTCCGTGGTGAATGCAGTCTAGCCAATTCTTCGAGCTTCTGCGCCCGAGAGACTCTATCATTGGTGGATCATGGATCACACTCTCCTCTCCGCCATGCTCCCCCTCCTCCCCCCCTGATTCAACTCGTCTGGAGTTTTGGATCTCATTTGACCTGCACAAAGGAGATATCCCCTCTCCGCAATCTATCGTCGGAGATTATTGTGAGCTATTTAGGGGCATTCTTTGGGAATTCTTCCATGACAAGGGGTGCGTTCGTGTGCAGTCTGCGAATAAGATCATGGACTAAGCACCGCACTACCTCTCAATTGAGTGATTGATGCTCACATCTGGTGGTTGATTGACGGCCGGTCACGTTCCTGCAGCCGTTTCTCGCGTGCTGAGAAGGATCAAGAGGTTCACCTTATTCTTCCTTCCTCAGCTATGTGCCGGCTCATGGATCACATGATCTCTATCTTCGGCTTTTGTTGACAGGGCATTAGAGCATGCCGCTCTCCCACAGGGCTCACTCATCAAGCCCCCTATTGCATTCCCTTCCCCTTGGGATTGCACCGTATATTATATTTACCTTGGGATGCCCAGCTCGCCCCTTTCTCGTTGAACACCATGCCACAAATATCCTGCGAACCTCTCGGGTCCCATCAACAAAACTCGACCCAACATCGACTTTATTCAGTCGATGTTCCTGGCCCGCAATGCCCCCGCATGTCTTGATATAAATAGCTAGACAGATCTCAGAACATCTCTGGCGATCATCCGCATTATTCGCGTTTGATCGACTACGTTACGTGTGCTGCCAGTGCCATGCATTCATAACAGTGTCCGTCTCAGTGAAGTTTCAGCTCGAGGAGCGGTGCCATGGCACAGCCTACGCGATTCGCCTCCTCCCACGTCGTCAACTCCGAGGCTGCACGAAGGAGGGAGGAACATTCGGTCATGTTATACCCTTTAGGAATTTCCCCAACGCGGGCACTCGTATTCCCGACAGCGGCCTCGGGTTCCGCTTGGCGGCTCGTATTCTTACACTACGCGAGCATGCTGTCCGCTTCATGACCTCCACACTTTTAACGTGCCATCGGGCATCCATTTCGCGATTTCATGCTTGCGCACGGTGGGCAAACGTATAACAAGCGTGCACGAACCGTTTCTGCGATATCGACCGTGGCGTGTGTTGAGGTTTCGTACGTTGTCAGCTCGTCCGCTGCGGGGGTACTCTCCAGTCAGCAGATCTCTCTCGTTTGGATAGAGGTTGGGTCTCAGGATAACCCATTCATCCGCACGTAGTCTATTTCGGCGCATTGTTAGTTGCTCTGGTTCTTCCTACTATTTCTGAAGTACGGTACACTGCCATGTACTCGTAGATTGGCATAGCCCGCAGAGCAGATTGGCCATTGTCGGAAAGAATGGACTCGGTCAGACGAACTCAGGTATACGATACAGTCCAGTGACCACTTCACTGCGACAAACCTTTCCACCATGATAAAGCATGTGGTGCACTCTAACCTGTCGAGGGAATTCGAAGTTACATTGACTTCGTTCATCCGGAAATCCTCATCTTCTGCCAGACGAGGTTGAGGACTAGGCTGTGGATGCACATTAAGTAGAGTTCATCTTCTTGCTAATGCCCCGTATAAGTGACTACATGCGACTACGACGTTTAGAGATTTGTTATTTCTTGCTCAGATTGTGCATTGTCCGGTCCAGAATCTATCGGCGTGTGCGTGTAACGCCTCGCTTCAACGAGTCACATGATTCCAAATTGAACTGGATGTATGTAAACACCACGAAATCCGTGGCCACTTCCTCCTTCCTTGATAATTCAACGATTCTTGAGGCATCAAGCTTTCCTCTTTGAGCAAGTAAATTCATCAGTATTACGTTCGTAATCAACAGAATCCTTACAATATTACCTTGGCGGATGCATGTTGCGGATATATACCTTCACCTCTGGATTGGACTAATCTGGGCTACAACTCTCAAGTATTTCAACATAAACCAAGTACTCAATCACATCTGAAGAATAAAGAGACTTAAATATCAAGTATTTTTTCCTGTTCCAACCCGCAATATACTCGACACCAATCTCCACTCAGTAGACAGGCCTCGAGCTCAGCACTTTCATTCGACCAAGACCTTATGCCGCAACATGACTAATCAATACACACAATCACCTTGTTCCAACTAGACTATTGTGACTGTGTGGGGCCGGGGCATTTTGGCCTAAAGGTTCATGCTGTCATCGATATTGATGTTTGCCAACGAGCTGCTGCATTTTCTGAAGGCGTCGAGTCATGACCATGTCATGCTTGGAGTCGTGTTGAAGCGATAGAAACTCCTTTCATTCCTTGCCGAATCTTACGACCCGCTACATAAGCATGACATGCGCCGAGCCCATGAAGAATTTACACCACGCAACGCATGAGACCGCAAACCGAAAACAGAGGTTCCGCGTTGCCCCTCTTGAGCCATGTCGTCCGGTGGATCACGGCGATGCGGCGAGTTGTGAAGGAGTAGGCGATGTTGCAAATGCAGGCTACTATTGTGAGTATGAGAATTGTTTTGTTGATGTTACACGACCTTTCGGCACCACCGAAGCGGCGAAGACATCGGAGAAAGCGGGAGTTCCGTCGGCTTAATAGTGGATCGAGAAGTTGGAAGGGGGCTTGTCCGATGTGTACACCATACAGTAGTATAGATAGAGCTCTGATGGCGAGCTGGCCCCAGGCACGTTGAGAATGGTCAGAGCTCCATTCTATTTTCGTAGAACTGTAGGATCAATGCTTCCCTTGGCCGAGCCATGATTCGACACTGGTCCTGCCAGATCAATCGTATATCACCGCTCGGGAAGCCAGAACATGGGCGCCATGGCGCAGGCAAATGGCCCGTATAGTTCGGAATAGCCATCCTCTTATGCAGCCGGCGGCACTAATTGCCGCGGACTCGGATGGGCGATAAGCTCGGACGGGCTGGGGCCGTTCTAGAGAGTGGAAATAGGGGGCTACACTGCTCGAGTTTTCCCACTCTCGGACAATAGATCTCAATAGTTAGTCTTCGATCTACTCCATAGTCTGACGCGAAAGAGGAAACTTTGGCACCCAATTGGACGTATAAACCTCTCGATGATCAGTGCAGGCGAATCAGGCATCTATGCATGGGCATGAAGCTTTTCCCGGTAACCAGGGATAGAGAAGAGGCGCTTCTCTGCAAAAATAGAACTGACGACGACCAGAGATGATGATATTCATGACGCGGCGAGAATCAATCATAGTTTTTTGCAGGTGGAATGGTGGAACAAACCTCGCAAGCCACCAGCGCTTCCAGAGAGTGAGAGATTCTAGACTATCCTATCACGTGATACGAAGGGGACTCGACTCCGCGATACCTCCCCGATTGGGGAACCCAACAACTTGCACTGACTGCACTTCCAATTCTCGCGAGTCGCCACCACCCACCATCCTCATTTCCCTCTTTCCAACTAACCCGGCATTGCGCGGTCGGAACTCAATTCACAAATCAGAATTTATCCACTGATCATGGTCATCATCCGGCAAATCCTACACTCCCCATTGGGGGGAGCCCTGGTGCCTCACTGCGACATGCAGTGCTCATTTCCTCCTGCACAAGGTGCAGCACTGCACAAGGGGGCTTCAAGCCACCCGCAGGCGAGGCGCGACTGTGGTGAAACCGCTGTGTGCTGTTGTCATCTAACCGCAAGCCCGGTGGGGTCGATCAAGCCACAGCCAGTCCTGCTTCCGAAGACCATCCCGACTACCACAATGAAGACAGTATTAACGATGATAAGGGAAGACGGTCGATCCGAGACGATATTGCGAAACGGACCAGGGTGATAGACAAACCGACAGACACACACACACACACACACACACACACACACAGAAACAGAGGGGTGATGAGCTGTCAGTCACCCGTTTTGGCTGATCATTCTACGGCTCCGGTGCCTGTCTTGGTTCCTATTCACTCATAGTCTTCGGCTGGGATCCACCGCGGCCATTTTCTCCCCCCCCTCCAAGGCACGCTTTCGTTGCCAATCACTTTATCAATATTTCCCGGATGAAGTCATGAGCGGAGAGGGAGGGTAAGACATTCACAGACTGTCAGTCGATATCCCACCGCTATCTCCCCACGACTGTCGCTCTCTAAACAGTCGAT